GCCATGGGTTGACACACTTTACATGTTGAAGCAGATCTGGCTCGTCCCATGTCACCTGCAGCAATACACCTCAACTTAGAGATAAACAATATTGAAGTAGCTAGAATAGCATACTTCCAAACTAGTCAAGAGGCAATTAGCGTGAAGTGTAAGCTTTGAATTGAATATTAGAATGAATTGCCATAGCGAAACAGAAGTTTACTAGGGAAAGAAATCAACTTGTAAATCAGCTCACTGTTTGGAAAATCAAGCTTAACATCTTTTACCACTTGGAAAAGGACTGAATAAAGGAATTAGATGCATCACATAATCATACAAATAATGTTCACAGGTATCGTTCAATTGAGTTCACATAACTGTAATCCCCATTCTCCAACTTCAAGAGGTCACAACTCATCAAAAATACTTGTTACAGAGAATACAAGCTCACTGAATAAAAACGATAAGAAATAGTGCGTCATTTTACTCTTTCAAAGAAACAGATACATTAAGGTCAGAAGTATGATGTAATTGTTTCTGAACTTCGATTTTCATGCCTTTACATCCCCTATAATAATGCATACGTAGAGCAACCGCTAGAAATGTAATATGACAGATCACAACATGATAGAGATGATATTACCTGAAGAAGCCGCCAGGGCGAATCTGTCCATCGAATGGGATCAGCAACCTGAACAGAACATATAGTTCCCATGAACCAGCTCATCGTTGAGTCTTCATTTTCGAACGCCATCTTGAACCTCATCCCCGAGCACCAACGGACCTGCAATGCCGCCTCCACACGTGAGGCCTTCACAAAGAACTCTGGAGTGCTAGCTCGGGGGTAGAAAGTAACCTCAAAGGGCTGTCCACTAGCTGCAAGATTTGCAGCTTCAATAACTGATTCCACCTTCACTTTTCCCCTCTTCATTAACTTATTCTCATCATGCCTGAGAAAAGCGGAAAACCCTCCGTATGGTGCCACGAAAGAAGTATCATGTTCATCTGCAATTCCCTTCTTTACTCGGCGAATGCCCACACAAACATCCCCATTTTCAGCCCTCAGGAACACAATGGAATCCCCCGCAACGAGCTTTTTTGAATTCACAAAAGTAGTCCAACCGGTAGTTAAAAGATGACGCCTAGGTGTCCCTCGGTAAATATGTCTGAATTTCCATGTCTTCCCGTGAACATCCTTCGCTAATAAGGTCTGGACAGGAGGATCTGCAGAGTAGTCCAAACGAGGAAAGATTGTATCTGCACAATACCTTGGAACAGAAAACCCCCCACCATTATTCGCATCTGATTGCGTTAATGTCTTTGCGAATGAAGTGGGTTTTTCCTGATCATTATCCAACCCGCTTTTCGCAACCACCCCATCATCAACATTTTCAACCTCATTACTACTAACAGGTGTCATCCTAATTTTGGCAAAAACCTCATCATTTTCTTGATCTGCCATGTATTTAATACCCGAAACTCTACAAGGAATATAAGATGGAATTCTAATTTCACTCCTAAATTCCACATTTCCACACGCGTGCTCAGCGTGTCCTTGAGGAAAGTAGAACACTATTGAATTAACTGCAGGCAGTTCTACCATATTACCAGCACAAGCATGCCAAAATTTAGAATCTAACCACTTGTCTTCTTCTTCCATAGAAGTAATCATCTTGAAATTAACAGATTCTGTAGAAATGCAATACACCCTTTTCATTATTGACACACTTGTAATGGAAATGTTGGCATCAATGTAAAACACATTCATTAGGTATACTAACAGGACAATCAAATGAGAAGGAAAAAAATGGTAAATGAAATAAATTCAACTAAAACGGATTGAAGTAAAGTCCATACCTTTCTATATCTGCAAAAGCATCTGAAAACCAGAAAATTGCTCCAACAAGTCTTGAAAACTTCCTCCAAGAAAAAAGGCCTCAAAACACAGAAAATTTGTTGAATTGCTGTAAATTTAACACGAAAAAGATTTCAATCTTGAAGCCTCTAGCAGATTATATTCAGCTTTGAGTTCAAAACCAAGAAAGAAAAAGAATCCAAATTTTATTCTAAAATCAAGAACTAATACAACTCTCTTCTCCAAGAACCAACTTTGACACTATTTCTCCAGCACCCACACAAAAAAACAGTAACCCACTAAAACAAATAAACAATTCACCAGAAAAAGAAAAACAAGAATTGACCATGAATTAGAAGAAAAAGATAAGAAAGAAATACCCTAGCAAAAATCGGAAATCATGGAAAGTGAAAACACGTTGAAGTGCCTTTAGCTACAAAAATTACTTGTCATTTTTATGTTTCTAAAATGCACCAATTCCTATATATATATATATATATATATATATATATATGACAATTGTTTACGTGTCAGTCAATGTGGAACTAGTCTTTTTTTTTTTTCTTTGTCACTCTCCCTCTCTTAGAAATATTTATAACTTTTCATAGATATTTGGTTGGTTAATTAAACAATGATTTTTCTGACCTTTTTCTTCGGATCTGAAGAAACTCTACTGTATCTTTCAGAAGCTACTAAACGTTTAAAACAACAAAGATCTTAAACCAAGCTATCTATTTCACTATTTTTTAAGGGGTTGTTTCCTAAGATGGATAAATAAAAATAATTGTGAAATAAAAATTTAGTATTATCGTATTCCTTGTTTGGTTACTAATTCTATGATAAATTATTTTATAATTAAAAATAGTACTAGAATAATTTATACTTTTATATATAGATGTTAAACGGGTGGGCCGGGTCGGGTTGCTATTTTTTGGACCCGTACGGGTTACGGTCCGGGCCGGTTACGGGTTGGGCTTAAAGGGTTCGGGTTCATCCGAATAAAAATTGAACCGTAAGGGTTACAGGTTAAGGGGATTGGGCCGGGTTTAGTGTATTTTTTAATTTTTTTTGTATTTTGTATAACTATTGTAAGTTATATTAATAATTTGTATTAATTTAAATATTACAAGTTATATTTGTGAGCACGTGATTTTTGCTTCATACGAATTACTCCAAAATAATCCTCAAAATTAGGTCTTTTCTTTAATTATGTGTTGTTTTTAGGAAATATTGTGCGATTTTTCTGTTTGTTTGCATAGGTATATGTGCGTGTGTAATTTTATTAATGCATTTAAAAATACAAAAAATAATATAATGTAATATGTGTTGCATGTGCATTTAGGATTTAGTTTTTCAATTTAGGAATTAACAGGTTTGTTTTACAAAAAAAAAAATCACAAAAAATATGTAATTGTTGTAGTTTTTGTCATTTAAATGTGTCCTTATGTGATTTCATTGTTTCTTTGATTTGCTTGTTAATTATTGTAAGTATTAATTAATATTTGTAGTTGTACTTAGATTTTAGGAATTGTATTTAAAATCAGAAAATTAAAGAAGAAAAAAGAAAAGAATTCAAAAAATAAAGAGAAAATTCGGACTGGGCCTGTTTTAAGCCCAAGAAATTGCACTTCCTACCCAGCCCAAATCTGTCAACCCAAAAGCCATCAAACGACGTAGTATAGGGCAGAAGCTACGTCGTTTTGATGGTGCCCATCCAGGTAATTTCAAGACAATCAAACGACGCCGTATTGGTATTTTTATCTGAACCGTTGATCAAATAGATCCAGCGGTCTAGTTCAGTTCTTTCATTAAACCAAACGATGACGTATGATCGTATTTAATCGGGACCGTTCATTGTTTTAAATCTAATGGTTCCCAGGCCCTTCCCATGACCCGACCCACTCCCGTCTGAGACCGACCCATTCCCCCAACCTAAACAAACGACACCGTTTGGTTAAATAAATTGATCCAGGCCGTAGATCTTACCTAATCCAACGGTCAAGATCAGACCACCCCTCCCCTATATAAACTAAATTCTTACCCCAGCCCCCTAACCAAGCACCCCCCCTCGCCTTCCTGTTCATCATCGTCTCTGAGACGACACCCCCCTAAACCCTAGCCGCCCTAGTTCCCTCTCACCTGAAACCCGGCGGCAACGACGCCGCCGGTCACCACCTTAACACCCCTGAACCCCCTCGACCTCCTCTTTCCAACCATCACCATAAATCCCCTCGAATCAGGCCCCAACTCTTCGAATCTTAAATCGAAGGTGGGCCTGAGGACACGACCGTCTCCGATGACCACCAAACTAACACCCAGTAACCTTCCAGCCACCCCCAATACAGATCTTCAAACCGTTTGGTTCAAATCATCTCAGAGCTTCTCGAATCTTCATTTGAAGATTCGAGCCAAACATGAACTTACCCAGATATGTCCCAAATTCCTACCAGGTGACTTCCATGCCTCTCTTACCCCAAAACCACCCTTGATTCCCTTCGAATCTGCCCAGAAATGTTCGAGCCCTAAATCTGGAAAAAAAACGGAACCCTAAAATTCCAATCATGGAATCTGACCAAATTAATTGAAGGGTTGGGGCCTAATAGATTTTAATCGAGGTGTTCTCAGTTGAGAACACTTCAATTAAAGTCTGTTCGACCTCAAAATGCTTAGGTCTGACTTTGAGCCTGAGTCCGTATAATTTTGAAGATTCAGAGGTATTTTTCCTACTTTTCTTTTGTACCATATGTGTGTATTATTGCCTGTTTTAGTAATTTGTATAATTTTCCTATTTTTTTACTTGATTCTGTCTCATATCCACTATACCCGTTTATTCGATTAAATTATAGCATTGTTTCTGTTTGTTGTAATTGTTTACAATGTGTGTAATCGACTCGATTAAGTTCGTCGATTAGTTGTCTTATTATAAATTCTTGTTCCTGTTAATGCTGATTGAAACAACCTGTTTGCCTAAATTGTCCGGGGTTTGATTGTTTGGTATCAGTTGTTATAAGCATGTCCATTAATTAGTTTCGACAGTTAATTCACTCTTGTTTGTTAAGTCAGCAAGTTCGTCAAATGTTGTTGTGTATATTTGATCCAGGGCCATTTGATTTCAGGAATGAACTTGCATGCCTGATATTTGTATTCATGTGCATATTTCAGTTTTAGTTTCAGGACATTGTCATTAAGCTGACAATGAACCTACATTCACATTACCTTCATTCATGTGCATATTGATTCAAGTTTCAATTTCAGCTTCAATGATTCTGTTGAGTTATGTGTGGTGTTAATGTGATGTTTTGGTTTGAATTCAGTTTTACAAGTGTTAATTAGATATTATTGGGTTAGAAGGTTACATTTTAGTTAAAATTCTGTAAATATTGTTCTGAATTGGAAATCTTTGTATTTAATGTTTTTCTGCATTAAAACCTTAGGAATTGGTTGAAGCTGTTAAGCAGATAATTGTTGAGTTTGGGCAGATTGGTTTAGGGCAGTAATAGTAAGGGAATTTCAGGGGTGTTTGGGGAATAAAACAGTTAGTATGATACGTTATTGTTAGTGCTTTATCAATGAGGTATTAATTAATCCTAATGGGGAACCAAAGGAAGTGGAGAGGCTGAAATTAAGGGAAAGTTTTCCTTAGTGGCTAATAATTAGAAAAGCAGTTTTAGTGTTATTTGAGTGGAAGAAACTGATTTGAAAAAGAAAAAAGGGGGATCCGAGCAGTAGGCTGGGAGAAAGGGAGTAAGTTGTATAAAAGGGTGTGTTGGGACTGATTTCAAGGGAGACACACAGAGAGAAAAGAAAAAAAAACAGAAAGAGTGGACAGAAGGGAAAAAATAGAAAAAGAAAAACAGAAAAAAAGAGCACACACACACACACATAGAAAAGAGAAACAGAACAAAAAAAATAGAGAAGAAAGAAAGAAAAATCAGAAATATTGTTTCCTCATATCTGTCCGGGCTTGTTTGGTGATACTGTTTGATTGAATCTGAAATTTTCTTAAAATTTCTGCTACTGTTCGTCTGGTTTTCACGGTTTCTGTCGGTTTTGCTCAAATCTGTTGAATTGTTTGGCATTTTATTTCTGCTGTTGGGCTTCTTTTGCTGCTACTGCTGAATACTACCTCTTTTACCCTCATTTCCAGGTATATATTTAGACTCATGATACTGCAAAGTTTCAATATTATAGAGAAATGAAATCTGGAATTTCAAATATGTCTGCTATTCATTTGAAGGCATTAGTTGAGTTTCAATTTTTT